GCCCTTTTGAAGTCAAAAGCAAGAGTTCCATTGACTTCAGTGGGCCTTGGATTACAAATGGAGAGAAAAAGCATAAAATCTTCCAAGTTTAAAAAGTTCAAAAACTATTTTTGCAAGGACAACAGCCATCGTGGCTGCTGAAATATAAAGTAGAAGAGTGTTACATCTTATAATTACTTTATTTTTTCAGAGGGCTACTAAGGCTAAAGCATGTTCCAGGCCAGGCAGTTGACTCTACCAGAGACAGAAAAAGAAAAGAAAACAGGAGAAAGGGGGAAAAAAGTCTCATTTTCTTTAACCACCTTCTTCTCCAAAGTACCATTATCTCATTATAGACCAGACCCTGTGGAGTGCCAGTAATGGTAGTTGAACATAGTCAGCGCCACACAGGATTGAACCTGATTTGCAGTATTCCCAACATAATATATAGAACAGGAGTGGGGTACCTCCAGCACACTGGCCACATGCGGTTTGTCAGAGTTAGATATTGGCAGGCCACCAGACACTTTGTTTACCTGAGAATCCACAGGAACAAAGCCCTGCAGCTCTCAGGGATGGTACTTCACCCTTCCCAGACAATGGGAACTGCAGGAAGAAGCATGAGCTGGGTCACACTTCCCACACATCCCATTGGTTGTGAAAGGCTTCCCCACCTCTGTTAGAGAGAATACTGATATATTGAGATAATGCTAATTATGGAACATGTGACTATATTACATGTGGAGAATTCCCTGTTGGAGGATTCTGGTGTTGAGGAAAGCAGAAGTTTCTTAAGGTATGAACTGTTAGTGAAATTCTCTCTCTCATGCTGAGGAACTGTACAAGACCTATGTGCCACTTAAATCCCATTTAAGACCTATAGTGAGGCCTTAGGTCCCAAATCATCAAGACACTTAAAATATGTCTAGCTGTAAGCATGAAAAGCCCAATGGACTCTCAAGTGGGGCCTTAAATGAGATTTAAGTTTTTCAGAGGTCTAATACTGGCTCTCTACACAAGGATGAAATTCACCCTGTGTGAATCATAGAGAGAAGGTTAGTTTTGGGAGAGTGAGAAAGACTGAGAACACAAACTGATGCACAAAACAGCACTTTGGGTATGTCTACACTACGGGACAAAGTTGAATTAAGATGTGTAACTTCAGAAACGTTAATTGCGTAGCTGAAGTTGAAGTAGCCTAACTCAGCTTTTGGTGATTCCTACACTGCAGGAAGTCAAAGGACGAACACTCTTCCCTTGACTTCTCTTACTCTTAATGAAAACGGGGTTACCAGCATCAATCTGGAGTGCCCTTTGTACTTCGAATTAGCTGTCTTAACTAGACTGCTAATTAGACCCTTGGAATGTCGACAGCAGCAGCTTTGATCTTCCTCTGTAGTGTAAATGTACCTTTCAATCCTCTCACTTCTGCTTCTTCAGGAACACTCTCTGGGCTGCTGACATTTTGCTGACCTGAATGGATAGTAGGCCAATGTTCAGCAAAAGTCAAGGTTTAAAGTGAAAGACTCAAAAGAATTTGAGAGAAGCCTAAGAGGAGAGAGGAACAAGGAATGAGCATCAAAATATTCATTTTAAGAGAACCCTGAAAACTCAAATTTTAATGTTCACATTATATAACAGTTATTTGTCCCTAAAATTCTCCTTGGCAATACACATTCCATAGTGTGACTATAATTCATAGAGGAGAATTTCATCCTATATGCTACTTTTTAACCCACTGCCTTTTTTTTTAACCATTATAGTACACCTGTATGTTGGACACCCATGCAAACTTCATAACTTTCTCTATAAATAGATATTTATATTCATATATAGAGCTACATGGTATATTTGCCTCTATCTTCCTATTGACGCACTGTATATTTTAAAATAAACCTACTTTGCTTTCCAGGTGGGTTTCTCCAGGTTGTCCCAGCTTTATTTTTGCTTTTTTATACTGTGACATACTAAAGGTGTTTTCACGTGGACAGCCCAGTCTTCATAATTAACAAAACTGCTGGAAAATTCAAAAGCATCCAATTCAAGCTTTCACGCAGAGGTGTATGTGTGTAATATTCTTATAACTAAAACCCCCCAAATTGTTTTCCTTTAGGCTTCATCTCAAGGCTACTCATGTTAACCACCAGACTCACCCTAATCAAATATCTAACTGATACATCCTACTCACATTAGCTTTCCAAATTTCCATAATGCTGCTGTTTTCATGCTTGTTGCTAACAGATGATAAAAATCTCTTGGTACCTCAGAACTGCTATTTAATTTCTCCTCTGTAATGGAGAAATTTCTGTAAGTTTGAACTCCATGCTGCAGTGGATTTAGTTTTAAAATTAGACTGCTACCAAATTCACAAAGAAAATTGAATCATTCACAATGCACCATTCATCAATATATAATTAAACTTTATCCCAGTAGTGTCCAAACCTATAGTCTTTACTCAGGCACCTTGCTGGAGTAAAGACTACATGATCAGAAACTTAGATCCAGATCCTGCAATGAGCTCAGTTGACAGAGCCAGCCTGGGCCCATATGGAGTTCCATTGAAGTCAACCTACATAGACTTCATTGCAAGGTTAGAGCATTTATGAGATACCATGAAATCTGCAGTGAGGTTCACCTCAGTGAGATCCTCACTGCTCCCTTTCCCCCGCCCCCGCAACCTCCTTAAGTGGCCATTTCAATTTCTCTCTAAGGTTTCTAGTAAAGTTTTATTTGACATTTAATTAACTACCTCTGCTAGGCAAATTATTTTTGCTTGTGCTTGGGTAGTCACTTAAGACAGGTTTCACTGCATACGAGCATGTGTATGTTATGTCTTCAGTTATAATAATAAGCAGATGTGCCTTCTGTGTCAGTGCACAAATGCAGTATTTAGGGTAAGGCCATTGACAATAGATTGATACGTAGAAAGCAGGAAGACAATGTCCTCGTCCCTCTACTTTGTAATAACAAAATATAATTATGTTGGCTAGGTGGTGAGACCCACGCCCCATGCCTCATGAAACCTGCCATCTCCACTATTTGGTATACAGCTCTTTGTTCCCTATTTTAATAGATGAAAACTATGATTTGACCACTAAAGATGGAATTTCTTGAAACCCATTTTTGGTGTGTCTTTATTGTTCCACAGATTCATTGGCAGTCAATGGCTCTGTTTCATCAATTAGGAGCTAAACCTTTATTCTACATTTGTTTTTGTCATTAAATTATGACGTGCAGAGGGACAGCCTTCACCTGCTATATTTGCAAAAAATAGTTGCTGTCTCTTTAATGAAAGAAAAAAGTCAATATAACATATTACCAAACGTAAATGCAATAAGGAATAACATATAGCTCTGGTTATGTTATATGACATTTGGCTTAGCAGTATTAACATATTGCACAAACTCTGAATTTTCCCTATTTTAGAAAATAAAACAATAAAAGAGATGGGGAAAATCTGTTCCGTATGACTGCAAAATAAATATGATTCTGTTTTTCTTTCCCCCTTCTTATTTTGTCACTTGCTTGAAGAAATATTTTCTCTTTTAAGACAGTTCTTTATCATGTATGTAATAGGCATACAATATAAGGAGAAATGGAACAAGATGGCAGTTACAGGAGTGGCAAGATGCAAATTTATTCTGGCAAAAAAAGTAAGATGTGCACAATATCAAGCATGCTCAAGTTTGTGCCAGGAAAACTATTACGAAGGAGGAGTTGATGAAATGAAATTTTGCATCATACATGATAACGTGTTGCTTAACTTCATAAAATAGTCTTTGTCTACTTGTGATTTCCTAGTTGTCACCAAGAGAAACTTCATACCACACTGCTGGAGTGGAAATACCTTGTTGGAATGGGTACAAATATCACAGCAGTAGTCACCCCAGGAACATGATTATTTTTGAAACAAAAGAAATAGAAAAGGAAAAAAAGACAGAGAATTCACAGACTATTTAACTGCAGGCACTGACTTGGAGTGGGGATAGGGGAGTATTTTATTACATTTTATATTTAATGATTAAGACTCTGTAATTGCTTCCTGCTCCATTTTCCCAACTTTAATTTGGCTATTTTATGCATGTGATGATGTTGCCACTGTTTTTTCTCAGCTGTCTTTCTCCCCATATTGTGTGACATATGTTACTGAGTGTAGCCAAGCAGTGGAGGAGTCATATTTTTCACTGACACCAGTTGAAAACATATTTAAAGAAAAAAATAAAGGGGGTGGAGGAAAGGGAGAGAGAGAGAGAAAGAGAGAGGGATAATTTCTTAAAGATAATTTGTCACATTAGGTCACAATGAGGCAAAGTAGGGCTTAGTGAGTAGAAATGGGAAGTCTTTATATGCCAACTTAACAGGGATGAGCAGGACTTGCTACTGTACTGGTGCAGCATAAAAACAGATGAAAGTGAAATATGGTGTGACCAAAAATATGAAGAACATTACAGAAATAAATGTTGAATGGCCTTTGCACAGCAGAGGTAGATAAAGGTTATAACAAACTGTTTACTGACCATAAACACTTAATATAATTAAGAGGTCAGTTGAACAAGAGCTCACCTAGTAAGTGCTTTCTCAGTAGTGTGACTCATAAACTATTGCACAGTGTCATGACACTGTCCAGTTATTGCTCCACTACTTCTCAGAAATATTCACATCCTCTTTGTAATCTACATTCTACCATTAGTTAAGGCTTTTTCATTTTAATGTCTAAACTTTTTTCCACAGTTTGCATCAGTTCAATGCAATTAACACGTGCCCCTAGCAGAAAAAGCACCATGTTTTATTGAATGGAATATTGCACAGTGTCATGACACTGTCCAGTTATTGCTCCACTACTTCTCAGAAATATTCACATCCTCTTTGTAATCTACATTCTACCATTAGTTAAGGCTTTTTCATTTTAATGTCTAAACTTTTTTCCACAGTTTGCATCAGTTCAATGCAATTAACACGTGCCCCTAGCAGAAAAAGCACCATGTTTTATTGAATGGAATATATT